GGAAGGGAAAAGGAGAGAGAGATAGAAACGTCAATGATGAGAATCACTGATCAGCTGCCTCCTGCACGCCCCCTGCTGGAGATTGGCATGTGCACTTGATGGGGAATTGAACCGTGACCTTCTGGTTCATAGATTGATGTTCAACCACTGAGCCACTCTGCCAACTGGACTCCTGCCAGCTTATTTGAAATTGAAACTCACTTCCCCATTCCCACCTGTGCTCTTCTTTTCTCCCCATAACAGTTCTCCAATCCTACCATCCCTTATCTTACCAATGAATTGTCTTATCTTCCCCCTCAAGGCAAAGTTCACTGATGGTATCACTACTGCCCAGATGGGTGCCTAAGGCAGGGCAGACACACGAGCCATAAATACTCTTCCATGTGCTAACCTGTCATAGGACTGTCTTCTCTTGACCTCTGTATTCCCAGGAGCTCTGCCTACATTTGACATTGATCTTAGACTCTGCTCGTAGTCAATGTAGACTCTTTTCGTTGAAGGCTTGCTGGTTGGGCAGCAGAATTCACACCCTCCGTCATTCTTTTCCTACTTCAACAGCCATGGGGGCTGCTTAGCAAGACAGGCCACGCAGACATGGGCATTTCTCTCATTGTCTGATGGCCAGAAACACGCTAGAGCTGTTCTGGATGCTTCCACAATAGTCTCAGGGAAACAGGAGAAAAGACCAAGAAGTCCTCTAGCACTAACTCTTCTCCCGAGGAGCCGGTCAGATTTTCACCTGCCTCAAACCTCTGGCGGAGCAAAATACCAAAGCAAAAGTTGCAGGGGCTCGACGCTGAGTTTGGGGAGTTTACATCCCACTGTTAGCTAGAGCCTCGCCCCATGGAATGTCCCAGAATGGGATTCGGGCCATGAAGCGGTCAGCAGGGGATGAAACTTTAGCTAACGGCTTATACGTTATAAAAATAAAATAGGTGTCGCATGCACATTACACATTCATTTTGAAAATCTCCTTCTCACCCCACGGTTGCCCAGGGGAAGGGCCTTGAGCGGGGGAATCCGCTCCTGGGAGAAATTTCTCAACCTAGACACCCACCCCTCTCCCCATGTGACTAACTGACTTCCTTGCACACGCACCACCATTCCCTCCGGGGTGAAGAAGTGTGGTGTATGAGATTCATAAGTCTACCCCCACATCTGTATGCATCTGGGGAAATGGACAGTGCAGGGAGGGACGTGGCTTGGCTGTGCATTGAGGGCCCCTCGCTTGCAGGACCAGCGGATGGAAAAGGCCCCGTCTGAATCCTCTCTAGGCCGGGACTGCAGTGAACAGATCCACCCGATCAGAGCAGCAACAAACTCCAGTGACATAGGAATAACCCCAAATGCCATTCAATATGCAGATTTCTGGGCTCCGCCCACCCCAGCCCCACTTCTCTGCAGGTCTGGGAGAGGCCAGGAGATCTGCTTCCAAAGACTCACCCATCGGGAGCCACTTTTTATATTATTAATAGAGGCCCAGGTGGACGAATTTGTGCACAGATGAGGTCCCTCGGCCTGGCCTTCTCACCCAGTCCAGGGGGAGGGGCTGCGGGAGGTTGGCTGGGGGAGCATTGAGCACCCACCTCCTGGTGGTCAGCACACATCATTGCTACCAGCTGGTCCTAACAGTCACTTAGGTATTTATATATAATGGAGGACCTGGCCACCATTTGCATATTAGCTCTTTATTATATAGGATTATTTTTTTATCCTTGTCTAAGGACATGCAGGGAGAGGAAGACAGAGAGAGAGAAAGAGAGAGAGAGAGAGAGAGAGAGAGAGAGAGAGAGAGAGAGAGAGAGAGAGAGAGAGAGAGAGAGAGAGAGAGATCAAAGTTACCTTCCATCTGTTCCGCATTCGAGGGCCTAACCTACAACCCAGGCATGTGCCTTGACTGGAGGACAACACTCAACCAACTGAGCCATCTGGCTGGCTCAGGAGATACTCTGAGAAACACCATCTTTAGATCTTCCTCCAGCTCCTTAGAGCCTTTTGCTCAGTAAACACGGGGAGAGGAAAAACCCACCCAAACAAACCTGCAGTCACTTTGACTCTTAATCCATTCATTCGTGGACAGACTGTTGCTTCTGCATTTTTATGTTTTATTAGAAAACCTCTCAGGCCCACTAACCTCATCCTAACCGGTAGTCGGGGGGGGGGGGGGGGGGGAGAAGAAGGAAGGGGATAAGGACATTAACAAGACCAACAAGCTCCAGCCACCACGCGGCCTCTGAGGAGCAAGAACAATTGCATCCGTCCAGCTGGTGGTGACTGAGCCTTGATCTATGAACCAGGAGGTCACGGTTTGATTCCTGGTCAGGACACATGCCCGGGCTGTGGGCTCCATCCACAGTAGCGGGCGTGCAAGAGGCAGCTGATCGATGTTTCTATCTCATCATGGATGGTTCTCTCTCTCTCCCTCTGCCTTCCTTCAGAGAAATCAATAAAAATATATTATATATAAAAAAAGAACAATCCCATCCTGTATTGAAGGCTGATGAAGCCACAGAGCCCCTACTCCCATCATCCCTGGGGCCAGGACAGCTGCGATCAGCCACCCCCAGGTTGGAGCGAGGGAGAAAAGCAAGAGGTGCCCCCGGCTGCCTCCAGCCGCTCCCAGCGGCTCCTTGGCACGGAGGAGAGGGTCACGCAAGGTGACAGGAATGGCCCCGGAGCCGCTTGGCACGGCCGGCCTCACGCAGCATGGAGAAACTCACCCTGACCCTGGCCGCCTGCCGCTTGGCATGGGCTCACTTACATTTTTACTCAATTACTATTTCTAAGAACAGAGACAAAAATAAAATAAATAAAATAAAATGCAGGGCCCCACCGCTCAGCAGTCTCGCGTGGAAGGGCCAAGAGGGGTCTGTAGGGTCTTCCCAGCAATCAGGGGAGGGGGCTCTGGGTGCAGCCTCGGCCTTGCTCCCTGTCCCCACCCTGGGCGGCACCTTTAAGGTCCCCAGGGTGGGTTTCTCCTGTGGTTTCATCAGAAAAAGAGGGCAGCTCTCAGCCCCGCGATGGCTGAGCGTTGCCCCAAGGGAGGCATGTCTGGGGGAAGAGACCACACAGATCACCCCTGAAGACCTCTCCCTGTGTTTCCTGAGGGAGGAGATGAAAGGGAAATGGGTCCAGAGCCATAGGTGAGACAAGGACGGCATTGAGGGGCAGGATTCCCAAGGGAACGCAGAAGGAAGGCCAAAAAGTGGGAAGTGTGAGGTCTGGGCAGTGTGGGGGAGAGCAAGGGGCCCGTCCTGGCCTCAGATTGGGGCTCTGACCCCGGCCAGCTCCGTGAGAGGACCAGATTCTACCTCTTTAAGCCGGTTTCCTAGAAAATGGGCAGTGCTACTTAGGTCCTTCCTGACTGACCGACCGACCGACCGACCAACAGGGGGAGGCCCAGGAGGCTGTGTCTTAAGGACCAAGGGGTGTTGAACAAACATTTTTCTTCTCTGGTTCTCCCCCCTTTCCTTTTCCAGAAAGCTACTAGGGGGGGTGAAAAGTGGGGGGGGCGGTCAGACAGTTCACTCCTTAGTTAATCAGACAGTGAAATAAAACAAACATTTAGAGGTGGACTAGAACATAAAACTTATCTCGCAAAGGAGAACTTTTTATTTTTCACGTGGCAGCGTCTAGCTAGCCACTCTGAGGCATTCTGGGGGGAAATGTAGAATCTCAGTAGAATCAGTTTTGTTTGGCTTTTGAGGTTGTTTTGTTTGTTTTGTTTTAGGAAATCCTAGCTTAGGCCACCTGAGTAAGTCACCTTCTCCCTTGATTCTTAAGAAGCAAAGTTAAGCATGATAAAATTGCAAAGCAGGCTACACCAGGGAATCAGACTTCTGGGCGGGTAATAAACACATTTCTTTTGATTTCTTTTGTCCCTCTCTGGGGCCTTTGCCCACATGTAGAATCCATAGAATCCAAACCTTTCCAGAGCCTCACACATACAGAGGGAGCCACGGCCAGCATTACTGGTACACTTCCTTTCTTTCTAAGCACGGGTCAAGGTCACCTCGGGCCACTGAGTCCTTCCATGTGGGGCAACATCTAAATCCCCGTCTTTGCCGTGGCCTCCTTGCCCGGCATAAAGTAGGCACCCTATAAAAGCCAGCTGAATTGATTCATGCTCCAAATCAGAAAGGAGTGAGGCCTTTGGCTTTTGTGACGCCCTCCTCCCCACTCCCCCCAGCCCAGCCTGACAGGTGGCACTGGCTCTGAGGGTCAGGGCTAAGTGGTGTGAGCATGTGGCACGCTCCCAAGTCTTGACCCATGACAACCCATTTCTCATGCAACCCAGAAAGGACAACGCGAAGGTCACACACAAGGGCAACAGCATACCTCTCCCTCAGGCCTCCCTCCAGAATGTCAAAGGAAAGGGAGAACAACAACAACAACAAAAATCTCCTTTGCATTAATTGAGCAACTACTGTGTGCCAGGAATAAGGACAAAGATATAAGTAAGATACACACACACTAAAGGAGACCCTCGACATTCTGCTCATATGGGTCATCCCTCTATGGGGGTCAGCGGGGGGGCTGTCAATATTTTGATTCACTCTGTGACACCCCCTGGGACACGCATCTCATACACACCCCCTCCCTCCATCCATCCCATCACATCGGGCAACCACGCCATCCTAGGACATCAAAGCGATTCATGGGTGTTTCTCATTGGGGATCGAGCCTGCAACCCCGGGCATGTGCCCTGACTGGGAATCGAACCGTGACCTCATGGTTCATAGGTCGATGCTCAACCACTGAGCCACACCGGCTGGGGCCATGGTGGTTATCACATCCTGAAATTTGGAACTTTGCTTCCTTTAAAACATTTGGGGCTCATGGCGACCTTCAAGGGCACCTTTGCAACCGATCAGCCACCAGCCTGCGTCTCACACGTCCACAAGGCCTCTGCCCTTTTCCCACAGGAGACAGACACCAGAGAGAAAGCCGATCGATACGAACTACGTGAAAGGAGGTATAAAGCAGAGGAGTGTACTCACCAAGGTACCCACAGAGCACCTGGGACTGCCGGGCACACAAGCTGCCCGCTGAGCCAGAGGGTGTTGTGACAACTGGACAGACAGCTAGGAGTTTTAAAAAGCACAGTCATTAGCTATTTGACGGACGAGCAGCCTGGCACAGAGCTATCGATATACAAAAGACTCAACGTGGGAGAGGGACTCAATGGACGTTCTTTCTGATCACTTCCCCCGGGAAATACAAGGTCCCTGTTCCTCGGGACCGGATGGGGGAAGAGGGGAAGGGGGGGCGGATGCGTCACTGAACACTTACAGGGGGTTCTGAGTTCCGGGCCCCACTTTTCGGCAGCCCTTCCCCAGCAGGCAGACTCCTGCGTGAGACCTCCCCCCTAACACGTTCCCGTGTTAAAATAACCATGTACAATTTATATACCGAGATGTTAAAATAAATACCTCGCCTTCTATTAAAGACGGCTAGGGAAGGCCTCGACCTCATTTGACGAAAGGCAGACTACCTATTAAGCATAAAAGCCTGTTTCTCATTTGGTTGGCCTAGATTTCGGGTTCCTTAAAACCACCTGTCATCATTTCTCACCCACACATGAGAACGCCTTCTCCAGTGAGTCAAATGGACACGTGTGTATTGGTCCAGGGATGCTGAGCTAGAGTTGAAACCTCTGGGGCTCCCTGGGTGGGATAAAACGTATCTCCCGTGGTTGTTATTTTATTTTAATATGTTTTTATTGATGTCAAAGAGGAAGGGAGAGGCAGAGAGAGAGAGAGAGAAACATCCATGATGAAAGAGAATCATGGATCGGCTGCCTCCTGCATGCCCCCCACTGGGGATCTAGCCTGCAACCTGGGGGGCATGTGTCCTGACCGGGAATTGAACCGTGATCTCCTGGTTCATAGGTCGATGCTCAACCACTGAGCCACACCGGCCGGGCCATAGTTGTTATCACATCCTGAAATTTGGAACTTTGCTTCCTTTGAAGTAGCAGCAACTAGCTCTTGTATATGGCCTGGAACTTTATCCTCGCCAGCGTTCACAAACTCACAAGCTCCCCAGCGGCCTGTCTGCACACTAGGCGGGTCCCACCTCCAGGGGAGCCCTCTGTAAGGGACCTGGGACCCTGGATGGATGACCCTCCTGCCAGGGAGGAGCCCACACCCAGGCCCCTGTAGCACCCTATGGTCACATGGTCTCAGATGCCCTTGCCAGCCGACACCTGTGCACATGTTCTTCCCAATAAGCAACCATGCTGTTTATTTTTAGATAAGGTGACCAGATGTCCCGCTTTTGGCGGGACAGTCCCGATTTTTAACAATTTTTAAAATCGGGACATTTTTTTAAAACGCCACGGGACAACTTGTCAAAAATCGGGATGGTCCCGCCAAAAGCAGGATTTCTGGTCATCTTGTTTATTTATTTATTTTTTATATATTTTATTGATTTTTTTTTTTTTTTTTTTACAGAGAGAGAGAGAGGGATAGAGAGTTAGAAACGTCGATGAGAAAGATCCATCCATCAGCCACCTCTTGCACACCCCCTACTGGGGATGTGCCCGAAACCAAGGCACATGCCCTTGATCAGAATCAAACCTGGGACCCTTCAGTCCCTAGGCCGATGCTCTATCCACTGAGTCAAACCAGTTTCGGCTGGTCACCTTATTTTTAGAGGCCTCCCCTAAGCCCCCCGGGGGAGAAAATCCCCACAGATAACCAGCCCCGCAAAGACAAGAAGCTCCGCTGGGCACCGAGGCTTTGTCCCAAGATTAGCAGGTCAGACAAAGCCTTCTCGCGCCTGCCTGACCTCTGGGAAGAGATGCGGAAAGCTGCCCTCCAGGACAAGCTCCGTGTCACCAGACGGGCAGGGTAGGGTGCAGCGTGTGCTATCTCTTCCCTCTGCGGTTCTGGGGGGGATTTCACTCCTTTTGCTGGGAAACAGCACCTTCTTCAGGCCAGCGGGGGTTGCGGGAACCTTCTATTGATGGGATCAGAATCCCTGAAGCAGTTCCAGGTCACCCAGGGCTAAGGAGGGCCGTGCAGGAACAAGGCAAGCTAACCAGCGTCATGCAGTGCTCACGTATGTACGTGTGGTTTCCTTTCTCTCTGCCATAAAGCTGTCCCATGACAGCATCTCCTTGTTGTTATTTTTTTTCCTTGTTTGTTTGTTGTTGTTTTAGGCCAGGCCAAAGGATAGGACTGTTCTGAGCCTAGTCCAGGGCCTCAGAAGTTAAAACCATGAATTGGATGGAGACTTAAATGGTGTGAATTATGATTATTTAGGTTAAAGAAAGCAATTCTTGGTTTAAAAAAAAAAAAATCTATTTTCGCCCTAACCTGTTTGGCTCAGTGGATAGAGTGTCGGCCTGCAGATTGAAGGGTCCCAGGTTTGATTCTGGTCAAGGGCATGTATCTTGGTTGTGGGCACATCCCCAGTAGGAGGTGTGCAGGAGGCAGCTGATCGATGTTTCTCTCTCATCAATGTTTCTAACTCTCTCATCCTCTCTGAAATCCATAAAGATCTATTTTAAAAATGTTTTTTTAAAAAAAAAAAAAATCCATTTCAGCCATCTGTGATTGAAGTGGCCTTGTGGTCTGGATACATTTTCTCAGGTGAACGAGGTTTTGGGTAGAGGAGAAATGCTTTTAAAACCCTCGGGGGAAATCTGTAATGTTAACAGCCTTTGAGAAGAGACACTTTCTAGAAGCATCCAGGCACTCACTCATTCACAATGAGGGCCTGTGGTTCATATAAACCGTGAGATAGAAACAGTCCCGGCGTTGAAGTAATCTGCAGTATAGCTAAGAGATGGCGCAAGTCATTCATACCCTCAACAGCCCAAGGCTTGATCCCATGAGGAGGGACAAATGAATGACTGAGTGATTCTTCACATCGACACGATTTTTAACAGATATGTCTAAGGGTGACAGTGAGGCTTCCCAGCCTGAGGTGACAGCCAGAATGCAGCTCTGCTTCTGACCAGGTACTGCCCAAGTCCGAGTTCTGGAATATTCCATTCCCTGCTTCCCTCTCCTCGATTTCCAACGCCCAGATGCCACGCTGTGCACCTGCCTGTGGGGACAGAGCTCCAGGGCCAGTCCCCTTACCAAAACATCCATCGTCCACAGAGAAATGCCCTGTCTGTGATCCCCTTTCCTCCTTCTAAAGTAAGACTCAGACTAAGCCATTCACCCTACCCTCCCACCCCCTTGAGTATTCTTAGCCCGGATCTGAATTCTAAGAGTTTCTGACAAAGAAATGCAACTTCAATGGTGTTGTCACTTAGATGTCCAAGCAGATCTGAAGCTGAGGTTAAGTCAGTGGACAGGGAAATCAACGACCAGATAATAACAAAAACCAAAGTGGAAAGAATGACAAAGTTATCGCTGTTCCATGTGGTAGAGAGAGAAGGATCGATCCCTAATGGGTTTCGTCTGAGAAGCGTTGAGTTAATGATGCTGAAATGAATCCCACGCTGAAAAATTAAGTTATATCTCTCAGGAAAAAAAAAAAAAAAGTCCTACTTATGTTTTGCCAGCTATAAACTGTGCTCTTAGAATGCATTAGCAAATACTGTCTTTATTCGATTTGCAAAGACCGGCGGTCTTGTGGTCATGTCAGTGTCTCACTCGATAACAAACGTTGCGTTCCTGTCCCCAAGATGAAGTGATAAATATAGATGCTTGTGTGCTTGCGACAGTGACATCCTGAAGTGATGGGTGAGCAGTTGTGTGGGAGGCCGGCTTGTCAGGCCAGATGTGACATCTGTCAGAGTGGAATGGGACCGATGGTGGGGGAGGGGGGGAAGGGACCAGGGACAGAGCCAACATCTATGTCACAGCAGTTTTCTTTGTCTTTCTGAAGACTGGGGCGATGCTACAGATTTCCTGAAACAAACCACATGACCCCCCCAAAAAAAAGCAGTCTCCCTGTCTTCTCTCAGAACCTCAATGCTCTTCCTCAGGGATAGCTGCCTCCTACTGGTCCCCATTTTTAACAATTTGTCCCGCGGTGTTTTAAAGAAGTCCCGATTTTTGGAATTGTTAAAAATCAGGACTGTCCCGCCAAAAGCGGGACATCTGGTCACCTTACCCATGTGGGCAGCAAGGAAGGCCCCTGGGGAGAAGGCCCCTCCCGGTGAACAGGGACACTTGGGGTAAGCTAATATGAGAGCCTACAGCTGCTGCACCCAGACGACTTCCAGAAGGTTGGGGCCTCACAAAATCCAGAAAGCTCTGTCCGCTGGCCTTAAGTTCCTGAAGTCATTGGGGTTGAAGGAGCCTCTGAGCCCCACATTTCTGACCAATCAAAGAGCTCGTTGGAGAGAATGGAGGCGGGTCCTGGTCCCAAAGACGTTGGAGAGAAGGTCACGACCGTGACCTTCCGGCCACCTACCACGGTGAGTCCAAGAAACTCAACTCCTCCCCAACTCAGCATGTTCATGTTTCTCAGATGTTTGAGGCCTTACCTAAGAAGGTTTCATTCTCAAGAGCTTCCTAGATGTCTCACTAGCCCTGCCAGTCCCTGATTCCAGCCCCTGAGGTGGCCAAGGTCACCTAAGAGACAATCCAAGTGTGCAAAGGAAACATCCCCCGAATATAACCTATCAGATGAAGGTCCCCAGGCATCCCAGGCCAGTGGGAATGGCTTCTAGAACATCCGTTTTGGGTCACGTGTTAGCATGTCGAAAATCTCTCTCTTCCTAGCTCACAGTCCATGGCGCATTAGAATGAGTTGTCAGTGATCTTTCCTGCTTGGGGGCACACACAGTAACGGTGGCCCTTAACACCCATGAGTCATGGCTGCCGTGCAACATAGGCCTACCAGGGCCAGAAGCAGAGCCAGGGGCTCCGTGCACTTGTCCTCCTCCATCTCGTGCAGCCCTAGGCCAGCCTCTACTTCATGGTCAGAGGTGAAGAAGCTGAGCCAGGCTCAGAGAAGCTGACCACCACTGATGCAGACAATCCAGAGGCGTGAACACCAAGACACGTTTGGGGGTGACGGGGAAGAGGTCAAGGGTGTGTCACGCAACAGCGGGGCCACCAAGCCGACCCAGGAAGCAAGGTGGGGACCACACCGCAGTGCAGTCACCCTCCCC